TAGATATTATATAGATACATGGTTATAGCTTAGAACCCCAATGAGCTTAACAGAGAAAAGGTACAGAAAAAAGAAAAAAAAAAGCAGAAGAAGAAGACCAGTAACTGAGCTAGGATCCCTCCAGTACTAAGTGAACCTGGGGAAATGACACAAGGAGAAAAGAAATTCAAAGGAAAAACAAAACAGTGGGTTAGGAAACTCAATCACAGTTTGGTGGACTTGAAGACAGATGAAAATGTAACAAAACAAAACACACATGTTCAGTTGAGGGAACAGACAATTATATCAAAACAAGGAAAAAACCAGACAAAACTGTGCTGATGGCCCTAGTACAATAAGGCCTGAAAGGTTTGATTTATCCACATGAAGATCATTGAAATGAGAGGTAAATATCCTGAATAGAGAGGACAGTGGAGGAACTGGGGAGACTAAGAACAGGCAAAGTTTTTGGAGAATGTGACTATAAAGGAGACAGAGATGTCACTGCAGATCTGGGAAAAATACATTCATCAAGTTGTATTGGGAAAACTGTTTGTTCATATGGAAAATGGAACATTTGCCTAAGGTCACACACTGTACCACAAATATGTTTTAGGTGAGTTAAAAACTAAAAGGTGAAGAAAGGAAAAATAAACTATGAGCTTTTACAAGATAAGATAGGATAATATTTTCTTGACTTTAAGTTATGAACACATTGCTTAAGACACAAAACGAACTAATATAAAGTAAAATACTGGTAATTCAATTTACAAATAAACAATTTAAACACTTGGATAGGTCACAAACTAGCAGATGTGTAACAAAACTGAAAACAAAATATCCAGCACATGTATAAAAAAATTCTTATGTGTCTATAACAAAAGGCCAATATTTGATAACAAATGGGAAAAATACTTGAATAAATACAAATGTATCTGTCTCAACTTATTGAAGATACCATTCAACAGAATTTCAAAATTATTTTTGAATTTCACAATTATTTTTGAAATTCAAAAGAATTAAAATCATGAACTCAGAAAATTGTGCAACAGTGTTCATAGCTTCATTATTTACAATAGCCAAAAGGTTGTGTCCATCAATAGACAAATACATAAGCAAAATGTGATGTATACAAACAATGTGATACTATTCCACCTTCAAAAGGAATGAAACTCTGATATTTTCTGCCACATGAACGAAGCTTGAAAATGTTATGTGAAGTGAAATAAGCATAAAGGCAAACATTGTATGATTCCATTCACATGAGATACCCTGTTGGAGGCCGAAAGAGTGAGGGTCATCATCGACTCAGGATACCACC